TGCTCTGCGGTGGCGGCCCCTGTCCAGGTTGCCGGGCCACCGCGCCGTGCCCGGTCGCCGGCGACGGCGACGAGCGCCACCGCGCCGCACTGGCCTCTTCTCTTTCTTACGGTAAACTACCGTGAATCATCTGACCTACCTGATCCAGAGGATCTAACAATGGTTTTAGAGCCTGTTTTGGGTAGATTTTTTCGAGTAGAAAGAAAGCGTAGCAAAGAAATCACAGAAGAATTTCCCATCACAAAGAACCCTAGACAGGGCAAAGAAAAGCACCGGAGCAGAGCCTTGGGCTCGCCGGCAAAGAGCGCCGCCGCAACGGCCGCGTCGTTCCTCTCGATTCCGACTCGCATCGGCATGCCGAGGTTTCGGGAAGAAGGACTCTACCCCGACCGGGGCAAAGGGCACCGCCGCCAAACCGTTCGACGGCGACGCGCTCACCGCAAGGCGAATGCACAGCCGGCAAAGGGGATGGCAACGGCGCCACCGTCGTCGCCTCCAAGCGAAGCAGAGGAGGAGCGGGCGTGTAGGGGAGTAGAGGGCTCGGCCACGCCTCTCTCTCGCCCTCTCTATCACAGGAGGAGGAGGATGAGAGGAGGGGGGAAGGGGCAAAAGGAAACGCAGGCTCGCGCGGCGCGGCTCGACGCCGTCGCCGGCGTGGCCCCAACCCGCCGCATCAGGAAAGCCGCTGCGCCTCTTTGCTCTCTCTCTCTCGTTCTCTGTTGCAGGAGAAGGGAGAAACTGAGGGAGCTCCTTGTCTCGAGGAGCTCCCGGTGCCGGTGGTGAACGGAAGGGAGCTCGGCGTAGAGGTCGACGGTGAAGTGGCTGGTGGCGCTTCCCATCCCTTCAGCGCCGCCCTCTCGATCGAACTAGGGTTAGGAGTGGGGAACAGTGCCGGCGGCGAACCTCGCACCTTGTGACGTGGTCCCCACCTCCTCTACATGGCACTGCGTGACAGGGGCCCACCAGCCTTGCTTGGGCTGGACGCCCCCGATCAAGGCGTGGGTCAAGGGTCCAATGGGTGGGAAGAGATAAATCTAACAGGAATTGTATGCTTAGTGTATGCCTAGTTGCTAATTTACCAAATAAATCACAACATGGAAATTTCTCAATTGAAGACATTTTTATGATCTTCAAGGTGCAAGAGATTTGTTCCTGAACACATTTGAAGCATCATCATAAAATTACCTATGATTTCCCAACCTAGTGAATGTCATCACTGTTATATTTTGACTATTTTGCTTATGTTCACTTATAGGACAGAGTGCTGGCCAAAGTCATGATTTCAGAGAGTCATTTGATGTAGCAGCTGCAAGAGCTGTCGCAGAACTTAAAATTTTAGGTATTTAATCATGTAACATGTTTTTGGGGGTTTACTAGACAATATATATCAATTAATCCTAGTTTTCTCCTTTGCAGCTGAGTACTGCCTCCCATTGGTTCGTGTTGGTGGTTTATTTATAGCTGCTAAAGGGCACGATCCTCATGTAAGTCTTTGCTATTGGAGTATTGTGCATTCCGCTAAATTCACCAACATACTTTCTGCAACTAACATTTCTTCAATTTCTTATGTTTTCCGGCAGGAAGAAATAAGAAGTGCAAAAGCTGCAGTTGGTAAACTGGGTGCCTCCATGCTAGATTTGTGCAATGGTAAACTATCTTCTTTAGCTCTGAAGAATTTATTTTATGGATTAGCTTTGAAGATTTTGATAGGTTAGTACACAGTTTTCTAAATATTATTGTCAGTTTACATGGTATTCAGTCAGTATCTTTCTGAAAATAGAAAAAAAAGAGGGTTGGTAACAAATAGTTCTCATTTTACATGTCAAGGTATATTTTTTCTTTTCATTTTTACTTGTTGGCACATGGTACTATTTCTCTTCATGGTATTCAGTTAGTAACTCTCTTCAAAAGAGCTAGTAGCTGGATCTTTATTTTTCTACTTGCTACCATCCCCTTATGACCTTGCTAAAGCTTTTCTGAAATATATCATTTGTTATTTTATCAGCTTAGCAATTTGCATGTTTTTGATTTCTCGCGCGCTCCTGCAATAAACTGTGGAATGCGGTCCATGCTTATCAACAGACACACTTATTGATTTGTTCTGCGGTATCCTTGTGTACTTATGTGTAGATGCAATGTTTGACCTGTTTTTTTTTTGCGGGATAATGTTTGACCTGTTCCCTTAACTAATTCATGACCATGTATGTCCATGATAATAGAAAAAAGTAGATGCAACTTTTGCCAACTGATGACTACGTGCTATATCCATGTTGATCAAACAGTAACACAATTTCGAGCTGATCCCTTTACTAATTCCTGAGAACGGGATAAGCATAGAAGGATAAAACTCCCGATATCTTAAGCCTCTCTTCGTTTGCAGTCGAATCAATGGGACCTCATGGTCAACGAACGGCAGTTCTGTACCTCAAGGAACGCACTACTCCAAAAAAGTACCCTCGGCAGCCAGGTAATCATCCTTAGCCGCCTTTAGGAAAGGCACATCGTTCGATAAGTTTATTATGATTCTTCAGAGCTCAAGCATGCATTTCATGTCATCCAGGTACCCCTTCTAAGACACCATTATGAGAAGCATGCTGACTTTATATGGTAGACACACAATGATCAAAAGATGATCCGTGGATGCTCTCCCTCCAAATGGTCACCCAGTGGGAGACGACGATTGTTCTCAAAGCATGAAAGGATTAATCTACCACCCTGACAGCAGGTATTTGTTGTCTGCAAGGAAACTGGTGCTTCACTCCATGTATCTGTAACAAAAAGTCGCAGATGTTCCATTAGAGAATACTACGTACATGATGCTGCCCTGTTTATGGTATTCTCGTCGGCATTTCTTATGTAGAACAGATACAGAATGTCGGACGGGGAAATGTATAATACTGCAAGATTGAGCTAAAGTCTTCAACTGCCACAACTCGACTTAGAAATAAGTTGTCCTTGTCACACTTGAATGACTCTTCCCGTTGGTTTCTTGCTACGCAGTTAAACACGGTTGAGAGAAACTATTTTTCTGATCTGACAAGCAAAACGGACATTATCGTATCCTCGCTTTTCAACACGTACACATGGCCACATATCACTTTCTGAAAACATCCTTCCACCAGCTTGCCAAGGCCAGCATTAGACTATTCCAACCGAGGAGAGGGAAACTTCTCCCCTCCTACCTTCTTCCCACAGAGCAGATGCAGAGTCCAGACTGCTGACGACCATTACAACATGCAACAATCACGGGACTCATTCCAACTGCACATTCATAACGGCAAGTTATACTATTATCCACAGTACGCAATAATTTGTATACTGCTACTAGAAGGAAAGATCCAAATCCAAGCGTGTTGGCCGGCTCCGGGCGCCTGCTTCCTTCCCCCTGCCCTACCCGCCGGCTGACCGAGTAGTCCTCCATTGGACTCGTCAAGCTTTATAACCCGAGCCGGTTTTGTTCCCTAGCCTCATTCATCCACCCATCTCGCCGAGAGCTACAATGGCCGCCACCATCAGAAGAAGCGTCTCCCCCCTCCTCGCTCTGCTCGCCGCCGCGGCCACGGTGCTCGCCGTGTTGATGTCTGCGCCCGTGTCCGCCCGGAGCTTGCCGGAGGGCCTCCCGGACATCAAGCCGCTGCTGTCCAACCCGTGGTCGGCGTTCCAGAACCTCTCCGGCTGCCAGTTCGGGGACCAGCGGCAGGGCCTCGCGAGGCTCAAGGACTACCTCAGCCGCTTCGGCTACCTCCCCGCGCCGCCGGCCAAGTTCAACGACGTGTTCGACGCCGACATGGAGTCGGCCATCCGGACCTACCAGCACAACTTCGGGCTGGAGGCCACGGGCCAGCTGGACGCGGCCACCGTCGCCAAGATGATGTCCCCGCGCTGCGGCGTCGCCGACATCATCAACGGCACCTCCGCCATGGGCAAGACGGTCCACGGCCGGAACCTCTACTCCTACTTCCCGGGGTCGCCCTCGTGGCCGCGCTCCAAGAAGAGCCTCAGGTACGCCATCACGGCGGCCACCGAGACGACCATCGATCGGGCCACGCTGAGCAAGGTCTTCGCGAGCGCCTTCGCGCGCTGGTCGGCGGCCACCACGCTCAACTTCACGGAGACGGCGTCGGCGTCCGACGCCGACATCACCATCGGGTTCCACTCGGGCGACCACGGCGACGGCGAGGCGTTCGACGGGCCGCTGGGCACGCTGGCGCACGCCTTCTCGCCCACCGATGGGCGGTTCCACCTGGACGCGTCGGAGGCGTGGGTGGCCGGCGGCGACGTGTCGCGCGCGGCGCTGGACGCCGCCGTCGACCTGGAGTCGGTGGCGGTGCACGAGATCGGCCACCTGCTGGGGCTCGGCCACTCGTCGGTGGAGGGCGCCATCATGTACCCGACCATCACGTCGCGCACGCAGAAGGTGGAGCTGGCCAAGGACGACGTCGACGGCATCCAGAGCCTCTACGGCGGCAACCCTAACTTCAAGGGCGTCACGCCGCCGGCCACCAGCAGCGAGGAGACCCACAGCGCCGCCCCCAGCGCGCTCTCCGGGCCGTGGAGCGGCCTGGCCGTGGCGGCTGCGCTCGCACTAGCTCTGTCGTGCTAGTTCTTCTTGGGTCGATCGATTCACGACCATTTTTTGGTTTTTACCTTTTTTAACGGGCATTCACTTTGCTCTAGGATTTGTGTTGTTGTATAAACATTAGTAGTCATTGGGTGTGCAAGATAGTGTAGATACGTGATTGTTAGTGCATGTATAGAGCGGATCATATAGGACATCTGTTAAAAAATACACGAAAATGGTGCGCCCATGTGGCCATGTGGTATCATATGAGTTTTGCAGAACGTGCGTTGTTGTTTTTCGCACTAGGAGTTCACTACGAAGCTAGCGGAGCAGGCGAGAACCACATGATTTGTCCCGGGGGTTCCATGTGGCATTTGGACGGCAGTTCTCGCGTCATACGCGTTGTTTGGTAGGTTCACGGCATCGATCCAGACGAGGGGAATAAGTCCACGTGAGACTACGTCTTGACCCGTTTAGAGTCTGATGAGTCTGTCGTGCCACTCATCAGAACCAAAAACACGGGGAAAGAAACAAAAACACGGGAACAGAAAATGTGGTACAGAAATGTCGTCTGGATGATACATGATTTGTAGACCCAAGAAAAACGATGTCTCATTACCTCGTGTTTTGTTTTCTTCAAATTTTCTATGGGATAATTGCCCGTTCCATACAAACCTTGAAGAAATCTGAGATGGCCATCTTTTTTAAAAATGGCACAAAGGATAATTTCTCTATAGAGTAGTCCCTTGGTCTGAAATTCCTGTGCATATCAGTTTCGTTTACTAAATTGGTGCTCTTCCCATGCATGGAATTTGTACCTCCCGCGGCCGGACGACCGGACGAGTTGTGTGAGGCGACGACAGTGACACATCCCCGCACAGCTCGTCGACCGTGCCGGCCTCCAGTCGCCACCCGCCACCCGCCAAGCCCAGCCCAACCCAACCAACCGCCGCTGACTCCCGCGCCGATCCGATCACCCCGCAACACAACCACCAACCAGTCGCTCGCCGCCAGCCCCTCCCGCCCCCAGCTCAGATCCGCCGCCGGCCGAGGCACGCATGCCGGGGCTCCTCGCCTACTCGGGCGCCGGGCTGGGCCTCCTGGCCCTGGCGGCGCTCGAGGCCCTCCAGCCGCGCCTCCGGCCGCTCCCGCTCCTCCCGCGCCGCCTCTCCACGCCGCGGCACCACCGTCACCTCCTCGCCGCGCTGCTCTCCGCGCTCTGCCTCCTCTCGGCGCTGCTCTCCGCGCACCACCTCGCGCTGCCCACGCTCGCCGCCTCCGCGCTCTTCCTGCTCCACTCCCTCGCCCCGTTCGCGTTCGCGCGGCTCGCCGCCCCGCCACCGCCGCCGCTGCTCGACCTCCTCCTCGCCGCGGCCTTCGGGCAGGAGCTGCTGCTCTTCGCGCACCGCCGCCCCTCCACCGCCGCCGGCATCGAGAACCGCTACTTCGACCTCTTCCTCGTCCCCGTCGTCGTCTGCCTCGGCGCCACCCTGCTCGCCGCGCACCGCCCGGGGGCCGCGCCGCCCCGCCTCGCCCGCGCCGCGGGGATCGCCCTGCAGGGCACCTGGATGCTGCAGATGGGCTTCTCCTTCTTCACCGACGCCATCGCCGCCGGCTGCGCGCTCCACGCGCAGAGCCGGGCGGACTACACCATCAAGTGCCGCACCCACGAGGACTACCACCGCGCGCGCTCCGTCGCCACGCTGCAGTTCAACGGCCACCTCGCGCTGCTCGTGCTCGCCGGGGCGGCCACGTACGCTGCTGTCATCTCCAGAGGGAACGGCAGTCCACCGAGCGGCTACAGGATGCTGGGCAAGGAAGTGCAGATGGAGGGCATGCCATTGACATCTCAGTTCACCCTGGATTCGGATGAGGAGAAGGAAGATGAAGGGATCGCAACCGCAGAGCCACCGGTGGCGAGTGGGGTGAACTCACATCGCCAGATCTCCGAGCAGACACCTGATGATCCCAAGTGACGGGGATGGAGTTTGGTGCTTTTGATGTAGAATAGCTCATTGGAGGTGAATATCACAGTGAAACTGAAGAGTGATCCGGCATCATGTTTGTGTGTTTCCACTGCATTTCAGTATGGTACCCTCTTTTCGATACTTGATTGAGATCACCTTAGGTGTGTGTAGGAGCGTGCACAATTTGATTTGCATACATCAAAGTTAGCCTTTGTACAATATTGTAATACCGTCGATTCAGATAGTTTTCTGAGGAATAAAGTTAACTCTTGTTACTGTACTGTGTCTATATGACCAGTTGATATCTACTACCCTTGAGCTGTGGCATAAGCATGTCAGGTCGTAGTTATTTGAATTTTGGTTTCAGAAGCATTTTGGGTAATTGAGCTGAATAATGCATTGCAGTGTGCATCCTGTTATCTTAAGTAGGTCTTCTGTGGTTCTGTCCTGATGGGTTTTGCCTTCGGAGATTAGTTGGGAAGTAAAACCATCGGGCGTTGGACTGCAAGGTGGAGGGATGTACAAATTGCTAGCCATTTAAAAGTTCAACTGCTATGTCTGTCTGTTTGGTTAATTGTTCCTTTTTTGGTGGTTGACTCAATACAGGAGGAATGCTGGTAATTCAGTTATGCCGAGCAAAGATTTGTGGCAGAACTGCCTGCAATGTTCATAGTTGAGGTGATTACCTTTGCCCTACAGTTGCAAATGATGATAATATTTTTGTCATAGTACATGAAGTTGTCTTTATCATCAATCTAGCATCCATTTCTGGTCGTCTCATCAACCAAACTTTTAAAAACAGCAAAGTGGGCTGCAAACTGGTTTTCTTCTGCTGTTTGGAGTTCTTTTAGTATTCACACTTATCTTCTCACTCCTCATGCTCTTTTACCATGTATGTGATTCCTCGTTTATGAAGTTGTTTTGAGAAATCGTTCAAATATGATTACCTTGAGATATTTTGCTGAAACTTTCGTCGATGTGCTTCATCGCTTGAATCTGGATTTTCAATCCTTGCTATCCATTATTAGAAATCTGGACCAAAACTGAAGTGATTATGCATTTTTGTTATTATCGACAAGGTTGTTAAATGAAGTGATGAACTCTAATCAGTGCTGCATGACATGATCCTCTGGGCATCACTGTTCTTTGCATTCAGCATATGCCTTACAGAAGTAGAGTAGGTTGGAGGCATGATCATATACAAGTACCACATTTTTCTACTTCTATTCGAACGAACAAACTGTACCCCCCACATTGGACATGCTTTGGGGCTATTCCTGGAAAACTTCAGGTTAATAAATAGACCACCTCAACCACTGTACTAGCTCAGATCCTTTTTCCTTGGTATCAATTAATGTTTTACCTTAAAGGTCCAGTGGGTTACTGCATGGCATTATTTTTGGGTGTTGAGGAAGGGTAACCAAGTTAACATCTCTTGCAGCACATTGGCAATAGCTCTATCCTCAACAGTTGCTTGGTCACATTTTTTGTTCTGAATTAGCCAAGTGAACAGTAGCTGTTCAATATTTAATTTGGCAGAGTTACCCTCGTACTTTCTAAAAAGACAAATATGCTACACATTGCCTCCCAGTATGCCAGCAGTTTCATTTTCTCACATGTAACTCTTTATCTTAAGAAAAAAACCTGACCATAAGAGTACTCCATAGATAAGGTAATTATGAAACATCTGGCCACTTTATTCTTTCTCTTGCCTTGAATTAGCTAGGACCCGTTTGTAAGATATACTTTCTTTTTCTCAATTCATGTAAAGGTTAACTGTTCCATGTGATATTCCTGTGCAATTCCTATAAACAAATCCGCGATTGTCACAGTAATATAATGCCTTGCTATAATGGTAGTGGATGCATCTTCTTTTTCTTTCTTGGCTCCTTCCTCGCCCACTTTCCAGAATGCGTGTTCCTCCACCGAAGCCGAGAAACAAGGTCTGATGCTTCATCATCGCCGCCAAGATAGTTCATTCCATAAATTTCAGGGACATCATGATACCAATATTGCTGACCTGCGACAAATAGAAATAAAGGATACCCCAGTTGTACCATGAGTCATGTGGCTTATCTGTTGTTCATTTCCCTAAATTACAGGGACATCATTGTACCATCGCTGTCCTGCGACAAATAGGATTTCAAGTTATAATGTATGTCATGTGGCTTATCTGCTGTGGTCTTTTGCAAGTTGCCTTGCAAAGGTTGTCTGACTCCTACTACAGTTTGATCGTTTAATGTTAAGTGAAATGGAGATAAACCTGCAGAAATGGGGAAAACCCTTCCTTTTTGCAGTGTGGTGGCACCTTTAGATGTGGAGCTTTCATGGGTACAATTTACTTGTCAAACAGCAAGCTGTATCAACAGTAGCTTCTTTGGAAAATCAGCAGGCTAGAATGCTAGTGTACCTGAATTGAGAGACAACGCTGATCAAAGATTAGTACCCATTCCACTTTTCTTGAGTAGCTTGTTCTCACATGACTAGTTTTTCAAGTGACCTCCTGTTTACTTATTTTTTCAGGAATCAAGCTAGACATGGAGCTGAGCTCGCTTAACAAGCACCATCAACAATACATGATGTAGTCCAGATGCCTGACTAGGGATATGTTTGGTGTTTATAATTCCACACATACAGTCAAGTTTTTCCTCCGACCCTCATATTCAACAACAAGTTTCCCCCACCTTAATAT